CCTGTTCCATGGTCTGCTTTTCTGCTACATTTGTTGTGTCGGATCCATACCGTCCAAATACAAGTTGCTGTCTGAGTTCCCTACTGCTAAATAGAGCTCCCTTGGATGTAAAAGAACTTGCATTTGTCACTGACCTCCAGCTCTCGCTCCACCTCTCTGAAGTCATTTTCATTAAACTATTCTTTTTACCGGCCCTGCTCCTGTCATCATGTTGGGTCTTGTTCGCTTTCTTGAGCCCCATGCTGCTAACCAATATGATAATGTCCTGGTGAAATTCTTCTAACCATCTGGGTTTTACACTATGCCAGACTGTAACTGCAATGGGAAACCTTGTTCCCAGCTTGGGGCAAATAACCTTTAAAGCCAAAATCAGCCAAAGGGAGAAATAAAGTGGGAGGAACCCATTTCTTGCTTACAAGCAGTTGTCTGCTTGCCTATGTCTCTTGCAACCCGGCTGCAAAAGGGGCCCCACCAAACCTCTCGGGTCCAGACCTGCTTTTGCTCCCCCTTGTAATCACTTATTGATATGGAGATGGCTACTTCTCTCCACCCCTTAGAAACACCTATTGTTTTGTAGATGCACTAAGGCCAGGCGAGAGAATGTGGAAATATTACACATGGAGATTCTGGAAATATTGCAATTTTACCCACAGACTTAAAATACAACTCAGATAGATACATTAAATTTCCACCTTTCAGTATCTTGTACGTCAGTTCTTTTTAAATCTATCTGTGCCCATATAGGGTTATGTACCCCTTTAAGAATCTAATGAGAATTTTGGACACTAAGAAAAAAGTACATGGAGAATTTATTTTGCATTTGGTTCCATGTGTTAGGAAGGAAAGGACTAGTCTCGGTGTTGCAGGAAAGTCAGATACAGTGAGACGAGAGACCAAAGTCAAGAAAGCAGAGTCAGTTTAATGCACTCAGGACAGAGCAGCAGAGCGGGCCTGCCTGAGACAAGACAGGCAGGCGTGGATGCTCATTCTGAGGCTTCTTTTAGGCAGTTTTGGCAGGGCAGAGAGGTCCTTGATTGACAGCTGTCAGCTCTCTAGGCTTGTTCTGATTGGTGAAATGGGGACAGGGGCTGTGTTGTGCCTGTGCCTCTCATGTTTCTTATCTGGGAGGACCCTGGACATTTCCTGAGTCACTCTTGGACCCTGTGGCTTCATCTGATTAACTGTGAGTCATTTCTGGCTTTCTGATTCTATTTGATCAACTCCCTGAGTCATCTCTGGGGGCCCTTTCTCCTTTTCATCCCTGTCTTTCTGCCTAACACATGGATCCTCTGAAGCCCATTAATACATCCTTAAAAAGTCATAAATCAATTTCATGTCAAATGTCCAGAGACCACCACCATTAGAAACACCTGAAATGTGGTTTAAAACTGCAGTTTCTTTTAACTCTATCAGAGACCTACAATTTCAGTATTTCTGAAGTGGGAAATCTTTGTTTGACAAGCAATCCTGACACTCTTACATCTATGAGGCTTAACAAACAGCTGTTGTAGGTCCTGCAGTAGGAACCATTTTGGCATGTTGGGCACGGGTGGATCATAGACACAAGGTTTAGAAAAATGCAGAAAATAAATCTCCCAGAAATCAGAAGCAAGTCTAGAACAGACTTTATTAGCAGTGGAACAAACTTGAATATAATGCAGGATCCATCATACCTACAGAACTCATGCTGACCTCGGTGAAACTCCCAGGGAAATCAAGTTAAAAAGACTTGAAAGTAGATTTTGAGGTTCCAAGTAATTTGGTTCCTCTAAATACTTAGCATTTCCCTTTATGGTTCAGATTCAGTTTTCCATTACTCAACCTGAAAAGAAGATAATGAGAAAAGTCAAGGGTCAAGTAATTGTATCACCACCATAGAGAGACAATGTGATTATTTAGCAATTACAGGAGAAAAGGCAGGTCTCTGCTCTGGCTCGCCCGGGCCACCCTGACTACTCGCAGAACTCGCACACTTTATACGGACATTTCTTGCCCTTGCACCTTACCTATAAAATGAGAGAATGGGTGTCCAGTGTCCCTTCCAAGTCTAACTTTCAGCCCAAAGGGGACACTTACCTTTACATTTATTTCTGCAATAACGATTCACCAAACACTCAAATTTTGGAACTATTAAAAATGAGAAAGGTATACTTTTCACTTTATTTCTACCTTCATAGATAAACATTTATTAATTTTGAAAGCTGAGATATCTTTTTTTGCCATGTGATCTAATTTTAAAAAGCCTTCTAATCATCTTATTATTTATATAGAGAGTTGTTTGAACGGCTCATCAGATCCAACCTTTAATATTGTTATTCAAGTTCAGAATATATTTTAGTGGTCGACACTAAGTAATCCGTGGGATTCATAATGCTCTTCATTCTCTGATGTATTTTGATTGTTTGCTGTCTTCTGCAAAATGACAGCTCCATGGAAGCAGGAGGCAGGAGATTCCATATGCTCTGCTCACCACCGTACCTCTAGTGCTTAGAGGGATTCCCGGCACACAGTGGGTGTTTAATAAATACTGGCAGATGAATGACTCAGTAATACATTTATTCCTACTTAAAAGCTGAATGTATCACATTTTCTCAGAAAATGAGTTTACTATTCAAGTGCTAAATATCCTGCGATGTTTCCTTTGGACAAACACCAAAGGCACATTTGAGAGAAAACTAGAGACACAGAGAAATATGCTCTATTACTCCCTCTGGATAAGAACAGCACCTCCTGATACAATGAAACATAACATTCTCTTAACTTTTCGCCTCATTAAAGAGGCAGTGGCCACCATAGGCCTTCCCATCAGAGCCACAGACTGGTTGGTAGGCTGATTGACAGTTTGTATGTCCAGTTGGGTTCTCGTTGCTGGTACTGCCAGTCTACAGTAATGTTTAAGACCATCAGGTGAGTATAGGGAACTTAATTTAATTCTGATATTGTAATAAAATTAATTATTGATTAAGCATTGTGTTAAATCAATCATTCTGCTGGTCCTTTGTATTTTTATTTAATCTGTGCAACCATATTGAAAGGAAAGTATATTGTGCCCTATTGTATAGTCTCAGGCACACAGGGCATTTAAGTGACAAGCCCACAATGTGAGGATTCAATACCCAGGCTGGGATCCAGACCCTGAGCTACCTGACGCTGGGGCTCCTGCTCTGACTACACGCCAGGCTGCGGCCACTTTAACTCTGTAGACAAGCCTTTCCCCACCTGAGGAAGCAATAATTCAGGAAAAGTCACATACACACGCAAATACAAAACACAAATGGCCATAATTTTTTGAGCCTTTCTTATCTCATATCCCATGAAAGAAAATGAATCAGAAGGTAGAATTTTGCAGAGTTCAGCTGAGCAGTACTTGAAGCATTTTCTCAGAATCAAGTTATGGAATGACAAAAGCCTATGAGCATTAAGAAGCTTTGACTAGCAGATGAGGACAGAGACACTACACGGGAGGGTGAGGACCTTCGACAGAGGGCTCAGCGCTCGTAGGACAGAGGAAAATGAACAGGTCTCTTGGTCTTCTCCACTGGTTCTAGGTAGCCATGCTATTCACACCAATCCATTACTTTCACTCACACATATTCTGTGAAATGGACAGGGTTGGCATCCCTGTTTCAGAAAAGAATATACAACTGAGAAATTTTAAGTGACAACCTAAACACTCAGAAACCTGCTGGTGGTGACATTAAGGTGTGGACGGTATGAGTGTCCCTGGGAGATTACTGCTTCCTGCCAGCCTCGACAGAGACCAGGAGGAACACGCATATTTCATTTGAAAGCGTGTTGAGGAATGGGAAGGTACGAGTTTAAAAACTCAGTTTCTGTTAAGATAATGTGACGCAGGAAGTGTTCTGGAAAGCTGTGTTGGATGTATTAAGTGTAGTGTCTAGGGTCATTGTTAAATGGATTTAGGAGTCTGGTGGTTGGGAGAAAGGGAAGAGACGAGCCACGGATGTGCATGTTTGCAGTGATGACTTCCGAATATCATTTGTTCACTCATCTGACAAATAGCTCACAAGAATCTATTATATACCTGCCTTGTTCTAAGATCTGGGGATATCATTTGAAAAGAAATACCACTTTCTTTAAGGAGTTCACGATACAATTGAATAAACAAATCAATTACAGAGCAATATGACACAGTCTACGTTAAAGGATATCTTTAGATTTTCCAATACTAATTCATGGAAAATCAAAAGGATTCTGTACAATGTGGATGATGTCTGAGCGAGAGTGACATGAAATATCCAGTCGTGCCCAATCATGGACTTGGTTTAATCATGAAAAGTTTTAAATGCCATGCTTAGGAATTCGGACTTTACTTTCTAGGTAGTGTGACACTACTGAAAATTTTTCAGCAGGGAAAAATACATTAGATTTGTGCTTACAAGTAGCACTTAAGTGGTTTGTAGATCATAGATGGTATGGAGATGGGCATGAAAGTTAAATTTGGTGGAGATGTGGGCTCAGTTAATGAGGGTCTGAGCTAGTGCAGTACAGGTAGAAAGGCTTGCGTGGGAAACAGACGGCAACGCGATGAAATGGAAGGGCTTGCTCGCTGCTCCTTGATGGTCATAGGTGTGCACAAAAACAATCGTCTCTAAATTCTTTCTCATTTCATTGAATTAGTGTCATTAGTGTTTATCATTAGTTCAGTGTTTCTGTTAACTATTTCAGGTCTTGGAAAATATAATGGCTGAGATAAGTTACTGAGGGAAAAAAAAAGAAATTAGCACTCACCTGAATCTCCTTTAGATTGTGATTCAAAGGCTTATGTACAGTTTTTCTTTCTTGTTGACTGTAAAAAGGTCTTGATCTCTGCTGTTGCCTCGACAATCCTGGTTCTCCTTGGTGGCCAGAAGATCCTGGCTTCCCTTGCTCATTAGAAGCCTCTGGCTTCCCTTCCTCCTGAATCCCCTTGCAGACTCCCAGGCTGATTGGAATCCCCTGATTCTCCTGGCTGGTTAGGATGCCCTGGTCGTCCTTGCATGTTGCTACCTCCCGGCTTAGTCGATTCCTTTTGTCCCCTTTGAATGTTAGCTTCGTTTCCTCCCTCTACAATAAGTGCAGATTCTGGACCCTCTTGTAGTTTAAAAACACTTGTTTTCAAAGGTTGGGTTGAAGATACTGGAATATACCATAAACACAAAAGTAAAAATGAAGTTATTCAACTTAAAGAATTTAAATCAATAGCATTCATTCCCACAATATAGTATGTATTTAATGCCTCTGATTTTTTTAACCAAACCTCAAGGCAGAATCTTCCCATTACATCTCATAGCCTGAATATTTTGGTCCCTTCATTTTTTATCTTGACCATATTACACGGTTTCCAAAAATCATGGGATCAAGCAGGCTTGTCCTGTTTCTAAATTGGAATCTGAATTATTTGAACTGGGCTTTCAAACTATCCCAAATTCCTTTTAATGATTCCCTGATGAATCAAGCATGTGCTGTTTAATGCCTTCTCCACATCACAGAACCCTTTCCAGTATTCCCACCCTTACCCTACAGGAGATGCCATCATAAACATTCCAGACATAAGAGCTGTGAGGCATGAGCTCCCCTCTGTACTCCCTTCTCCGTCTCTATGCTTTCTGAGGCCAGGTTCTCCCTTGTCCCTGTCCTGAAGGCACTGGTTTCCCTTCTTCAGAACATACTTTCTTTCACAGCCAGCTTTAGGTCCACCATGTCCCATAAAGGCCCTAGCATCAACCAACCAACCATACTCTGGTGGTTATTTGTTCCTTTCTTTAGTGTTCAAACTCCTCAAGGAGATGATAGATATTATATGACTATTTCTTAAAACCTATATTTCATAACTCATCTTTTCTACTGCTTCTCAAATTTATTTTGGAAGTCCGTCCATCACTACATATACATATAGATACATACATACATACATACATATATATGTATGTATATATATAATTCATATATTCCAAAATAAGAAGCATCTAGAAAACAGTGAATAAGAAAATGGAGTGGCTTTGGGGCCAGTGAATACAATGGTATCCACTGGGTCTTATGCTTCTTGTTCTCGGTTTGGTACAAATGTTTCTTTTTGGCCTCCTCACCTTTTCCATTTGATGATTCCTCTTTCTGCCCTCACTTCTTAAGTTGGGGTTTCCCCAAAAGTTTTATTCAGTCAGGCTCACTTTCACAAGGTACCGTGGTAATTTTTTCAGTTTATACAATCTTAAATGATTTCAATATGAATGGTTCCAAATCTATACCTAGGGTTCCACTTGCATTTGCAACGGCCCTGCTTTACATTCCAGTGAGTGTACACACTTGTGTCTTCAAACGAATTTAGCTAAAGTTAAATCCATCCGTTGAGCATCCTATGGAAACCTCCCTTGCTGGTGATTAGGGCTCTAGCCCAGGCACAGGAGTTCAGATTAGTAGCCTGGCTTACTAACCTGTGACAGAGCACCGAGCAGGGGCTGCGGATGTAATCCAAGCATTCATTCAAATTTACCAAAAACATTACAACAAATTTAAAGTCTATTACTGTGCCAGAACTATAGTAAGATCGAGAGATACAATTATAAGTCACTTACGGACTTATATAAGTCACTTAGAAACTGGGAATCTAACAGTGGGTGCAAACAAACAAACAGGAATTTACAGTAGTGTGATCAATGCTACAATGTAAGAAGTAAATCAGACAATAGACCCAGAGTCAAGATAGCAGAGAGTGGGCACCATTTCCCCTTTTTGAAGGAGGTGACACATAAGAAGCACAGGCTATAGTCAGAAAAATGGGTAAGGAAAGGAATATTTTCAGCCGAGAATTGAGTACATGGCATGATTTCTAAGAACCAAACATCGCTTTTGACAAGCACTAACTTCAAGTGACATCAATTAAAATAGAGAAATAGATGACATGGGAAAAAAAGATTGGTGATCTTTTTAGTTGTTAATTGTGTTTAGTTTTTTAGTAGGTTATATAAGAAAATTGAATCAAATCCTAAAGATGAAAAGGGCAATCAGTTTACAATAGCTTTCTCTTCCCAATTCCCTCCATCTCTTTCCCTACCTAGAACCTAATTATATGTACCAGGTTTTTCACACAAAATACATTACAGACAATGTATTTTTAAATATATTTGAATATCTTTCCACACAATTGGTAGCACACTGTATACACTGTTTTACTCCTTTTCTCCTTTGACAATGCAATGAGGGTATCTCTATGTCAATACATATAAAGCACCTTAATTATTTTCCCTAATTGGCTGTTTACTACCTCAGTTGTTAAGTTTACCATAATTTTTAACCAGTCTTCTAGGAATGAGCAGCTAGTTTATTTCCTCCTCTACTATTACAATGATTTCATGAAAATCCTAATATTACATCATTTTTCATATTTATACATTTGTAAGAAAAATTAGGGATGGAATTTTTAGGTAAAAAAGATAACTAAGATATCAGAATGTGGTTTTGATTATCTATTTTTTAAGTTAAATTTTTATGAAATAATTATCTTCAATTTTTAAGTTAAATTTTTATAAAATAATTTTCTTCAATTTTGTAGTGTAGTTTTCTGATTTTACAAACTCTAAATACATGCTGGGCCTTGCTTTATTGTAATAGGCATTCTCTCTTCTTCACCCACCAGATCAATATAACCACTACATCTGGTATTAATATACTTTCTTCCAGCAACAAATACCTGCTGAATACATACTAAATGCCATCTAGCAAGACACTGAAGTACATAAGAGATATGGTACCTGCCATCATGG